AAACAAACAGACGCGAAAGCCAGAGCCTGCAGGGCTCAGAATGGACCCTTGCCTTGCGACCGCGCCTTCTTGGAACCCTCCCTCCTTCCATATCCTCACTACTTTCACCCTGGTCTCAACTGGTGACCGGCAGGGAAAGGAAAACGCAGCAAAGGCAGCCCGAGTGTTACCTGCGTGCCAGCCGTTGAGCGCGTTCCTTCCACGCCCTAGACCTCTAATAATTTAGGTTTTAAGAAACAGTAAGAGCTACGTCCTGTAACTAAAGGGCCCAGAAACGAACGTTTTAAGTAAAAGCATCCAAAAATATAGAGGCACAAAAACAACTGTGGCCCGTACGGGGATCGAACCCGCGACCTTGGCGTTATTAGCACCACGCTCTAACCAACTGAGCTAACCGGCCAACTGAACAGTAGACTGCGGGAAAGCCATCCTCAAACCTCTATACTGTAGGGCGCTGATGAGTCACACTACACTGGCTAGTGAGTCTGCTATCCAAAGGCTGAACTGATGCCTACAGCATCGAACGAATACCACCAAGCAACTTTCAAAAGTCGGGCTTGCTTCAACCTCCTACCCAGTGAGCAGCTCTGGAAGAAACTCCAGAATGGCTGCTGTTACCTACGTTGTAACTCAGGAATTTCTGCTGATCTCAGTGTTGATCAAGGGTCTACCTTAGGCCTGGCCCTGGGGAAGCTCACAGTGCTGACTCCTTTGGGGTCCAACCCCCTCTCCCATGTCTGTCCCATACTTCCTAATACCTCCAGGCTCTTAGACTTGACATGAACCCCATCCCCACCAACCTTACTAAGACCACCTTTACAGCCATGTTCTCCACACCCTGCCCCCACCTGTGAGGTCCGACTTTGGTTTCTAACATTTCCTCTGTTGGACCGGCTGTCTCCAAACCACTTTCCACTTTCACACTCATAGTTAAATGACAGAAATGATGGTGAAGACTCCACTATGGAGTCTAAGCATGGGACCTCAGGGATGAGCATAGGTCAGAAAGTCCTCAGACAGGTTTATTATAGGCCAAAAGGTGTCACCAACACCCTCGAAAGTGATAAGTTTTTTGTTCTTTTGGCTTCTGCCACAAGGCAGGACCCAGGTACTTAGGACCACCTGTGAGTATAGATGCCCTAACATCGACCTGAGGAAAACCCAACATCACAGTGTGATTTGCTGTCCCCATATTGTCCCCAAGGCAGGCTAGCCTATAATAATTAGAAATTACAGTGGGCCAGTAGTTTTTGACTCCAAGGGTCGGGGTCCTGGTTCAATCAGGGAGCAAGTAGGGCCCCCAAACTGGGGAAAGAGGTAGGAGCCAGTCCTCAAAGTTTCTGAAGGTAAGGCAGGAAGAACTTGCAGGCCACCCTCAGCAGTTCAGATTAAAAAGAGGAAGCAAAAGCTTCCAGAGAGCTGGGGTGTTCTGGTTCTTGGATAGAAAGGCAGACTAGCCGAAGCCTGGGATTCACCCGAGTCAGTAGAGGGAACTCTCCAGACTGGAACTGCTGTAGCCGAGATGGTTCTGAAGAGAGAAAACAAATGTCTTATGTCTGTAGTTTTAGTCCTTATCCACCATTCTTCTTACAAGTCTAGAAACTCCCTATCAAGCTCATTATTCTTCCTTTCTAGGGCTTTTTTTTTTTTTGGTCTTTTTGAGACAGGGTCTCCCTGTAGTCCCAGCTGTCCTGGAACTATGTAGACCAGGCTGGCCTTGAACTCACAGAGATCCGCTTGCCTCTGCCTCCCAAGTGCTGGGATTAAAGGTGTGCACCACCACCCCCAGCTCCTTTCTAGGACCTTTTTACCAGTACCATCCTTACCTAGTGGGGTAACATCAGAGGATCTTCTCTCAAGCTCAAAAGAAAGCATAATAGGTCGGATGACGGAGGGGCTGGTACAAAGTGTCCAGAGGAAGAGGGCCAAGGGCTCATGGATCTTGCCTGGAGACTAGAAAAGGAAACCCAGGATTAACTGTAACATAAGCTCCCAACTTTCTGCCCAAACTCCAAGGACTTGGGTATCTGAGTACATCTCACCTCTGGCTGGGCTCCAGGCCCTCTAAATTGCAAGGCCACTTTCCCTGGTCCTCGGGCATACTCTAGGACAGAGGTCCATTCACTAGGACCCAGCCCTAGTGCTGCTGCCACAAGATGATTCCTACAGGTCACTGTGGCTTCTGCAGTTCCATCTTCTACCAGGAGCCTAGGGAAGTAGGGAGGAAGCAAAATTCCCAGAGCAAACCCACATGGCCAACCTGTGGACCCAACAGGCCTCCCACCCCAATGTTCCCATTCTTTAGCTCACTTTACCCTCATTCATTGATTTAAAAAAAAAAAATGGGGATGGGGAGCTGTTGAGATAGTCTTTCAATGTAGCCCTGCTGGGCTGGTACTGGTTATGTAGCTCACACTGCACTGGAACTCACAGCATTCCTCCTACCTTAGTACCATCATCCACCCAGTGCTGGGATGATAGTTAGTCAAAAAAATATTAAGCAATTTCCATGAAACGGGAATTATGCTACCGCAGACATATGACACTGTATAATAAGAAACTAGTGTAATGAGTGCCCACCTGATGCTGGCCTGGCTTATAGCCACCTGAGCTGGACAAGTGAGATCCTGACGACTACACCTCCCCTAGGATACAACAAACAAACAAAAAATAGTTGGCACTCCTCCTGATCCCATGACCTCACTCTGGCACCTTGTACCCATATCAGCCTGTCTTCTCCCATACCTGGGGACAGATGCTGGTACAGTATGTACACACCCATAGGATCTGAAGACTGAAGACAAAAACAACATGGCAAGAGGTAGTGGCCTGGAGCGGAGCCCAACCACGCTGGAGAAGTTCGGCCAGGTAGATATGGGGCAGGGGGTCCCTTAGGAGAAAGACAGAAATGAGTCAGTAGCAGGCAGAGAAACTGGGCACAGTGACACATACTTATAATCCCAGCACAGGGGTAACAGGCCTCATCACAATTTCAAGCCAGCCTGGGCAACATAGTGAGACCATCTCAAAAAAAAAAAAAAAAAGTCAAGCAGAGGTTCTGAAAGCAAGATGAGTCTCACCAGACTTAGGGGATAGGGACAGCAGTGGGTTCCATGGGGACACCAGCAGTGGATCCCACCCATTCCTGGAAGTCCATGGTCCCTGTCCCACTCTGATTCCTGATCCCTAAGAGCCATCAATTATTTCTCAAGTTGAACACCAAAACTAATCAAGAAAGACATATTTGGACTGAAGAAATGGTTCAGTGGTTAAGAGCACTAGCTGCTGTTGCGAGGACGCAGGTTTGGTTCCCAGTACCCATATGGTGGCTAACAACCATCTGAAACTCCAGATCCAGGGTATCCAACTCCCTTCTTCTGGCCTCCATGGGCATCACATGCATGGGTACACTTGCATTTTAGATGGAAATATCTTTAAGAACCTAGAACTTCAAGTCTTTCTGGGTAACCTGATAGGTACTGGGCATTTTTTATTTGGAGCATATAAAATCCTCTGACTCAAAACACTCTTACTGAAATTACAGAAGACTATAGCTGTGACAAATGTTTTGGAGGGACATGAGTAGAATATCAGTGCAAGGTTGGAAAGTTTAGAGATCAGGCCTGAACACTGACCTGATTGTGGACTCCAGGGGAAAACTAAGGACTTGCATAGAAGTGGACGAGCGGAAACAACAGTAAACATTGTTGGATCTGTAGGTTAAAAATAAATAAATAAATAAAATAACACAACAAGCAAGGTGTGGTGGTGCATGCCTTTAATCCCAGCACTTGGGAGCCAGAGGCAGGCGGATCTCTGTGAGTTCAAGGCCAGCCTGGTTTACATAGTGAGTTCCAGGACAGCTCGGGCTACAGGGAGACCCTGTCTCAAAAAAAACAAAAACAACAACAACAATAAAACAAGAAAAACAAACAGTGATGATGAAGAGAGCAATCAGATTGAGGTAGGAGCTGAAACAGATTATGCCTCACAGGCTTAGCTGACTCCTTTCTCCCTAGACATACATTCTCACTTCCACCAATGTAGAAAGAAGAATGGAGGAAGACTGGATTGCACCATCTGTGGAGGGTAGAGGGCATATACAGCAGACTAACATCCAAAATAACAGCAAACTCAGCATGGTGAGACATGCCTCTTAGAAAAGAGACAATGGCAGAAGGGTCCTTCTTATAAGTTTAATAAGTTTAATAAGGGACCACACTAATAAGTTTGGGGCTAGCTTGGACTACATAGGGAATTCCAGACTAGCCAGGGTTATATAGCAAGACTTGTTTTAAAACAAAACAAAATAGTAATGGCAAAGAAAAGGTGTCTTTATAGCATAGTTAGGTGGAGGTGAGTATTCAAGAGGACAGCAGGAGGGAAAGGGAGTATGGTCACATGACACAGGTCTTCACCTGGAAATCTTTTTCTCCAGCTGGCTAAAGTAGACTCGGGCCCCTGGAAGGAGTCCTATTGGGGGAGGCAAGTGTGGGTCTTCGATATATATATCCAGGTGAGGGGGGAATTCACAGTCAGCCATCTCTAGAGCTACTGTTAGCTTCACACATGCTTTAACAGTCCCAGCATTCCCTACAGATGGAGGGAAGGGTGGCTAGTGAGACCTGCCAGGACTACAACGTCCCATCACTTTAATTCACACCTTCCCCCTACAGGAGGGGACATTACCAGGCTGTATCCGGCGACGGGCCAGAGGTGGTTCACATATTCTCCGTGACAAAATCTCAGCAGAGAAAGATACTAAGGAATCAGGGAAGCTGAAAAGAGAAATACATGAGGAAACATACCAATAGAGAGGATCAGTACCTGCTAGAATGTCACATATAAGGCCCTAGAAAATGTTGAGTTCTCCAAAATTGCTTGCTAAGGGGCTGAAGGGATGACTCAGTGGTTAAGAGTACTGGCTGCTCTCGTAGAGGACTCAAGTTGGATTCCCAGCACCCACCTAGTGGCTAATAACTGTCCATAACTCCAGTTCCAGGGGAATCCAACACCCTCTTCTGACCTCCATAGGCATTGCATATCACAAGTATACTTATACACATGTAGGCAATATACTCATAAACATAAAAAAATAATAAAAAAAATTAAATTGCTAAAAGTAATAGGGCATGTGAGAAAAATAGGTCTGTAGCAGATTCAAAGCCTACCTAACTTTTATTTTTCTGGTCTTTTTGAGACAGGGTCTCCCTGTAGCCCCAGCTGGTCTGGAACTATGTAGACCAGGCTGGCCTTGAACTCACAGAGATCCTCCTGCCTCTGCCTCCTGAGTGCTGGGATTAAAGGTGTGCCCTGCTCAAAGACTACCTAACTTTTAAATAAAACAAACAAGAAAAAGAAAGAAATCTATACCACTTTGGAAACTTGCATTTCCTAGAGTCTCAACCAGTCTATCATTTACTCTTATGCTTTGGAGCTCAAACCCCCATCCTCAAAACATAGGTTATCTTAGCTGGGTGTGTTGGTTCATGACTTTTTTTGGGGGGGTCTTTTTGAGACAGGGTCTCCCTGTAGCCCCAGCTGTCCTAGAACCACTATGTAGACCAGGCCGGCCTTAACTCACAGAGATCCGCCTGCCTCTGCCTCCTGAGTGCTGGGATTAAAGGCGTACGCCACCCCACCTGGCTGGTGAATGACTTTTAATCCCAGCACTCAGCAAAGGAAGGTGGATCTCTATTGAGTTCTAGACAAGCCTGGTCTACATAGCAAGTTCAGCTGGGGTTACAGGGAGATGTCTCAAAAAGACTCCCCAAAAAACAAAAAAATTAACCCCCCAAAACATGGGTACCTAGGAAACATCTACTACTTAACTTTGGCTTTTTACAACAGAATCTGGTTTAGAACTCATGGCAATCTAGTCTCAGCCCCCTAAGTGCTGGGGTTACAGGCATGTAGCTACCACCTTCAAACTCCCAGCCTACATTCACTTCTAAGAATAAAGAACAGTCTCATAAGAACTATAGACATCTGGGGCTGGAGAGATGGCTCAGCAGTAAGAAGCACTGACTGCTTTTGCAAAGGACCCAGGTTCAGTTCCCAGAAATAGCACAGTGGCTAAACAACCATCCGTAACTCCAGTTCCAGGGGATCTGATGCTCTTTTTTTTTTGTCTTAAATTTTATTTATGTTTATTTTATGTGTATGAGTGTATTGCCTGCATGTATATAAGTACACCTGTGTCATGCAGTGCCCAAGGAAGTCAGAAGGCATCAGATCCCCTGGCACTGGAATTATGGACAGTTGTTAGCAGCCATGTGGGTGCTGGGACTCAAACCTGGGTCCTCTGCAAGAGCAGTCAATGCTCTTAACCACTGAGCCATCTCTCCAGCCCCCAAGCCCTCTTCCAACCTGCACTGGCACTGCACATGCTAGGGAAAGAATACAAATGAAATAGAACTTCCCTCTTATCCTGACATTCCTCTACAAGCTAAATCACATTGATGAAATACTTGTTCCAGCACAGAACAGATTGTTCACTCAGCCTAACTAGCACAGAGAAAGAGGGTACATCCAAATTAACCAGAGATAGTGGAGGATATTTACTTGTCACTGAGCAAGTGGGTCAGTGAGGACTCGGGCAGTGCCCTGGATATCTCTAGAACATCAGGTATGTCCTGAGAGCGCCCAAGTTCCAGGGTCCATTCATCTTGAATAGTGAGGCAGGACACACAACCAGCCAATTCCAGAGGACGCTGAGATGTGCCAGATGAACTCTCTGCCTTGAACAACACTGGAGTCTGCTGGGAAACAGGAAGGCAATTGCATCTGAGTTTGCCTGGGCCAAAGGGAAGTTCCCTAAATCCTGTGATGCTTTTTTTGGATCCTTGTGAAGGAGAGGATCCCAACACAGACAAATGTGTTTTTTTTTTAATATTTTTATGTTTGTATTGCCTGCATGTAGGCAAGTGCACCTGTGTTGTGAGATGCCCACAGAGAACAGAAGAGGCTGGAGGACAGAAGAGGCTGTCGGATCCCCTGGAACTGGAGTTACAGACAGTTGTTAGCTGCCATGTGGGTGCTGGAATTTGAACCCAGGTCTTCTGCAAGAACAGCCAGTGTTCTTAACCACTGAGCCATCTCTCCAGCCCCCAGACAAATGTTTTAGCACCTCTAAATCCAGCCTCTTCTAGGAGATCTAGAGGAGCCAGGACTGGTATGCCTGCTCCAGACTCCAAATGAACCAGCTTCTAAGTTGGGGAGAATGAGGCAGGCACTCACTGAGGGGCCAGGAGCCACAAGTCGGTACACTTTGCCTGGGTGTAACAATGCAAACCAGCGGACTGAAGGGCCAAGGAAGATGAGGAAGACCTGTGAGGAAGACAGCAAAGTTCTAGGTCCTAATGTGAAGCATGGGACATGAGAGGTCAGGTCCTAAGTGCCTAGAATCCCAGTTCACCTTTTGATCCTTGTTCTCAACTCCCAGAGGTTCAGGTGGCCCCCATCCAGACCCCTCCTTCCTCTGGGTACCACAAAGCCAACTCCCTGACACGTGAAAACTCAGGGTGGGGTCTGGAAGCTCTGAACTAGCTCCTGAGGGGGCACAAAAATTACGCTTCATGAGAGCCTCTTTGTGGGACAGTAAGAATAGCCGGCTCTGTCCCAAATGGGATTCCTCTGGGCAGGAGGGGTCTGACTGAGGAGATGATGAGAGAATGACTGAATCAATGGATGGTCTGGGCACAGGCAGGATCAGGGCATCAGACAGGAAGAACTGGATATAGACTCTGTTGGAAGGGGCAGAAATAGATCTCTCAGTGATGCAGGAATTGGTGATTTGGGTCCCACATTCTCCACATGCACCAGTCTTTCTTTCTCTTCAAACCCAGAACAGCCACCACCTCAAGGAGCCAACCTGGCTTGCTTTTTCTGGATGAAGTCTGCCATACCCAACTCCTTCCAGGAAGGGAAGTTGCTCCTGACTTCCCTCTCTATGACCAACTGGAACTTCTCTGCCCGCACCAGGCAACCTAAATAAAGAAAGTTCGCTATCTTGGCAAGAAACTGTAGGATGAGAATAACCTGCAGGTCTCATTGTCCATCCCAGGCCAGAGCTGTTTCCCTCTCATGAACTGAAGGCCCATCCTGACCACCCCATTCCCCAGGCAATAACTCCAAGTAGAAATCATTCCATATACATGTACAATCCTGCCCCTGGCTTCCTAGGCTAAAACACTTAGATTGAACTTTTCCATAAGTCTTTAAAATGCCTTTTCTAAATCTAGCAAATTTTCTTCTCTAGGGTTTCTCTTTTTATGAATCTCAATAAATCAAATAAGACCAATGTTCTTCCAAATTATGAATGTAGGAAACATGAGCTATAATCTGAGGCACATGTTTAGGAGCCATGAGGGAGAAATAGATGTTAGGAAGTGTAGTTCTGGCTCCCTTTTTCTCTCTCTGAATTACTAGTCTCAAACTTCTCCCCAAAGCTGCTGATCAACCCATGTCACTTAAGCATCAATAACAAGCCACAACAGATGCTTCCTCCTGAGAGCCCCTACCCCCTAGCATCACTATCTTTCCATCTCTGAACTTCACACCAATGAGCCTTGGGTCAGCGAGGGGTTGCGAATTCTTGGTCAAGGGCAGACAGGGCAATGAAGCAGTCAGGTCCCGAAGTTGCAGATAACCTTTATGAGATGAAGCCACCAGAACCCCAAGTAAAACCTGAAGGAAAAGAAAGGCAAAGGTGTCAAATATTTATTAAAGAAACATCCATCACTTTGAAGGCAGGAGGATTGTTTTAAGTTTGAGGCCAGACTGATCTACATAGTGATTTCCAGTTCAGTTGGGGGCTCATAGTGAGACCCTGTCTCAAAATATTAAATTAAATTAAATTAAATAAGAGCCAGGTTTGATTCCCAGTACCTACATGGCAACTAACACCTATCTGTAACTCTAGTTCTAGGAGATTGAACACCCTCTTCTGACCTCCATGGGTTCTGAAAAACATGGTTGCACTTATACACATGCACTCATACACATAAGACAAAACAAAATAATAATAAATAAATGATAAACAATAAAAGAAATGAAATCCCACTGAGCATCTATTACATGTCACACACTGTTTTAAATGTTAGCAAGCACCAAGTGGATAGAAAAGATTATAAAGACATGCACTCACACATTTGATAACAAGAAATAAAAGTGCATGAGCATGGGGTACATGCTTATACTCCCAGTACTCAGGAGGCTGAGACAGAAGGATCTCTGTGAATTTGAGTTTTAGGCCAGCCTGGGATACAGCAAATTGTCTCAGAAAAAAAGCAACAAAAAGAGCCACCAGAGTCCTAAATCCTATACTCTAAAAGCTACAGGTATGGTTTTGGTTTCATTCTTTTAATTTTTAATTAACTTTAATTTAAAAAAAAATTTTTTTGTTTGTTTTGTCTTTTTGAGACAGGGTCTCTCTGTAGCCCCAGCTGTCCTGGAACTCACTATGTAGACCAGGCTGGCCTTGAACTCACAGAGATCCACCTGCCTCTGCCTCCCAAGTGCTGGGACTACAGGCGGGTGCCACCACACCTGACTTATTTTTAAAAATATTTTATTTATTGGGGCTGTAGAGATGGCTCAGAAGTTAAGAACACTGACTGTTCTTGCAGAACACCTGGGTTCGAATCCCAGCACCCACACGGCAGCTAACAACTGTCCGTAGCTCCAGTTTCAGGGGATCCAACAGCCTCTTCTGTCTTCCACGGGCATTGCACAACATGGGTGCACTTACCTACATGCAGGCAATACATGCATATACATAAAATACAAATAATTTTTTAAAAATGTATTTGTTATTTTTATTCTATATGTATGAGGGTATCGCCTGCATGTATGTGAGTGCCCCGTGTCGTGCAATGCCGTGGAGGTCAGAAGACGGCATCAGATCCCCTGGACCTAGAACCACAGATGGTTGTTAACCACCATGTAGGTGCTGAGAATCAAACCTGGGTCATCTGCAAGAGCAGTCAGTGCTCTTAACTGTTGAACCATCTCTCCAGCCCCAATTAATTTTAATTTTACATGTATGAGTGTTTTGTTTGCATATATGTAAGTACCCAACATGCAAATGCCTGTGTGGAGGACAGAAGAGGGCTTCAGATCACCTAGAATGGGAGCTATAAACAATTATTAGCTACCATGTGGGAGCTAGGAACTGAACCCACATCCTCTGCAAGAGCAGTCAGTGCTCTTAATGGCTGAGACATCTGTCCAGATGGTTGTTAGCTGCCATATGGATGCTTGGAACCAAACCTGGGACTTCTGCAAGAGTAGCCAGTGCTCTTAACTGCTGAGCCTTTTTTAGGGGGCAGGGACAGTGTCACTATGCCACCTTGGCTAGTCTGGAACTCACTATTATAGACCAAGCTGGCCTTGATCTCATAGACATCCACCTGCCTCTGCGTCCGGAGTGCTGGGATTAAAGGCATGCAGGACCACACCTGGCCCAACCTACATTTTTATCCCATTCTTTCTAGTTGGTACAAAAAAGGATGAATTGGTGGTGGCAAGAACAGATGATCAGTCTAGTTAAAAGGCAAGCACAGTCAAATGACAAAAACATCACCAACAAAACAGACAAGTGATGGCAATAAAGATGGCAAAAAAGAAGGTTCCTGAGCCTTCGAGAGTCTTCTTACCTGGGCTGGCTGGAAGGTAGAGGGCAGAACAGAGAGCCAGGACCACCCCAGGTGGCGATTCAGCTGGGAGCTGGTCAGGTAAGCAGCCTCTGGGAGAGGTAGAAGGGCCTTCGGGTCAAAGGTAGCCCAAGCCCTGCGCTGCCCTTCCTTTGCCAGGGTAAACAGGGTAGGGAAAGTATACGGAATCTGCTTCTGAGCATACTGTTAGGGAGAGAGGAGAAATCAGACTGTGTCCCCTGGGCCCAAGTGTCCTCAGGTATCAGCTCCACTGCCCATCTTTCCCCACATCCTCATACTTTCTGAAGAGGACAGTGATGTGGCTCTTCCAGGATCTCACTGTGTGCATGCCGAATGCAGGCTGTTTTAAGAACAGCTGGGAAGGGAGCCAGGAGCTGCAGTCCCAGGCTGGGCTTCCCAGGAGAGGAATGCTTTAGGAATTGGTGGTATCTCAGCACGTGAGGACATAGCCTTGGCCAAGAGAAGAAGCACAGTCATTTCTACAAGACTCTTGCCCCTTCCATACAAAGTATCATTCTCCCACCCTCTCTCCATCCCAAATCCTCATGCTCCATCCTCCTCACTTGCAAGCCAGTTCCTCCAAGGCCTTGGTAGCCCACAGATAGAGGGGAAGACCTAACTGATATTCCCACACAAGTTGTTCATACAAGGAGGCTCCATGAATTTGAAAGGGTGACAGAGTCTCAGGTTTCTGATGAGAAAAGCCTCGAAGCAGAATGGTGCCATGAAGACAAAGAGCTAGAACTGGTCTTGATCCTCTTCCACCCACTGACTGGAGGAGGTGAACATCCCGGAGCTGTAAACAGAGTATGTGGTGTACACCTGTAAATCAAGGATGGCCTTATATAGTGAATTCCAGATGTGCCTGGACTACTGAGTTAGACTATCTCAAAAACATAAACAAAAATCAGAGCATGATGGTACAATTCCAGCACTTGGGGGACAGAGGTAAGAAACAGAAGGCCCAGAAGTTCAAAGCTATCTTTGGCTACACATTTTGAGACCAATTGGAATTTCTTGAGACCTTATCTAAAAACAAACAAACAAAAAGCCCTAAGTGATGGAGAGAGAGCTCAACAGTCAAGACCCAGGTTCAGTTCCCAGCACCCATGAGGGATGGCTCACAATCTGCTAAATTCCAGCTCCAGGGGATCTGATAACCTCTTCTGGTCTCTGTGAGAACTTGCACTCAAGCATACATACACACAATTAAAAATAAATCTAGGCCAGATGTGGTGGTGCACACCTTTAATCCCAGCACTCGGGAGGCAGGCAGATCTCTGTGAGTTCAAGGCCAGCCTGGTCTATATAACGAGTTCCAGGACAACTGGGGCTATAAGGAGACCCTGTCTCAAAAAGACCAAAAAAAAAAAAAAAAATCTAAAAAAAGTACCCAAGGAAAGAAAAGCAGAGGTGAAGGCCCAACTTACCCAATTTAGCCTCAGGTACAGGTAGCTACAGTCTCCACAGCCTATGTTCCAAGAAAAAGAAACACACGCTCCCAGTTCTGGCTATCTGTTTCCTCCTGTCTCACCTTCTATCAAAACCCATTTCCACTGTCTTTAATCCCAACTCTTGGGATGCAGAGGCAGGCAGATTTCTTCGTTCAAGGCCAGCCTGGTCAACATAGTGAGTTCTAGGCCAGTTGGGGCTACAGCAGGGAGACCATCTCAAAACCAAGGAAAAAAGAAAAATGCCTGAGGCCACCCATCATCTCTCATGAGCTCTAGTCAGTATTTCTGAGGATCAGATGAGTCCTGGCTGCCTGCTTGAGATTCTCCTTAGCCTATGCTTCAGTCATTTTCTCCCCAGGAGGCTCTTGCCTCACCTTCTCTTCATAGGGCTCAAATCTACTTTCCTCTTTTTTTTTCTTCTTCCACTTCTCAGTAGTAATCTACTTTCCTCTTTTTGCCTGCATATGTGCTTGTGTAAGGTATTAGAGATTGAACCTAGGGTTTTGAGCAAGTTGGCTAAGTGCTCTACTACTGAGTGACAATCTCAGCCCTTTTTTACTTATTAAAAAAAATTCTGAGGGCCAGGTGTGGTGGCACACACCTTTAATCCCAGCACTCGGGAGGCAGAGGCAGGTGGATCTCTGTGAGTTCTGGTCTACATAGCAAGTTTCAGGCCAGCTGGGGCTACAGGGAGACCCTGTCTCAAAAAGACAAAAAACAAAAACAAAACAAAATGGTAAGAGAAGCTACTGAGATCTCTCTCATCCCCAGCCCTAACCTTTGACATACATACCTCTAGACAAACCCCTGGTCGAATCACCCGCCTGAGGTCATGGATCTGCTGGTATGCAAGGCAGAGGATCAGCTGCCCATCCAGAATGTAGAGGCAGGCGGACTCATTCAACACATCAGTGACAGTTCCCTGCAAAGAGGCCAGAGGTCTAGTTGGGTACCATTTCCTTCCTCTTTGGAGACTCACCATTTCCTGCCCCACAAGCTCCAGGATCTCTTCCTTTTGTTCACCGAATAATGTAAGACTCTGGAATCCCGGACAAGATCTTCTTGCCCCATCCTGTCCTGGGACTCAGTAAGGGTGGGTGGAGGAAGTGGTCTGAGGTCAGCTTCCAAGAACCATCTTTCAAGTTCCAGCTCTTGCACACAGTCTGGTCTCAGCAGCATCAGATCCGAGGATGGAATGGTTGTCCAAATATAGTAATGGTGACTACGGGTCTTGGTTATTCGAAGTCTTGTCAGCACATAGGATCTACCAGGTCGAAGGACTCGGTGCCACACCATCTGGGCAGGAATCTGGCTTAGGCAGAGGGAGGCAACATATCACATGAGACTCCCATAATGCTGTTCTTCTGCCAGAGGTCCTCCTTATCACAATCTGACCCCAAAGATCTCCTCATGACTCTCCTCTCACCTCTTCATATGCTCTAAGTTTGGTTGGAGTTTTTGTTATTGTTGTTGCTGTTCTGTTTTGTTTTCAGACAAGGTCTCATATACAAGACCTTGAGGTCCAGGCTGGCCTCATACTCACTATGTAGCCAAGGTTGGTCTTGAACTTCTGATATTTTTAAATATTTATTTATTTAGTTAGTTTTTTGGAGACAGGGTCTATGTTGTCCCAGCTGGCCTGGAACTTGCTATGTAGGCTATCCCAGGCTGGCCTTGATCTCACAGAGCTCTGCCTGCCTCTGCCTCCCCAGTACTGGGATTAAAGGTATATACCACCACACCCAGCTATTTATTTTTATGTGTATGAATGTTTTACCTGCATGTAAAGTGTACTACATGCATGCAATGCCCATGGAGACCTGAAGAGGGCATCAGATCCTTTGTAATTGGAGTTATAGACAGTTGTTAGCCACCATGTGAGTGCTGGGAACTGAACCTGGGTCCTCTGCAAGAGCTGTCAGTGCTCTTAACCACTGAGCCATCTCACCAGCCCCAACGTATCAAATTATATATATAAAAAATTATACATATTGTATACACTATTTGTTTGTGTGTGTCTTTTTGAGACAGGGTCCCTCTGTAGCCACAGCGGGCCTGGAACTCATTATGTAGACCAGGCTGGCACTGAACTAATAGAGATCCACCTGCCTCTGCCTCCCAAGTGCTGGGATTAAAGCCCTGTGCCAGCCACCATGCCCAGCTTTGCAAATCTTTTTTTTTAATGTTTGATATTTTTAACACTGAACTTCCAGGATCTTTCCAATATAAGAGGAAATGCCAAACATTTCCTTTTTTAAAATTTTATTTATTTTTATTTTATGTGTATGTGTGTATTGCCTACATGTAGGTAAGTGCACCCATGCAATGCCTGTGGAGGTCAGAAGAGGCTGTTGGATTCCCCTGGGACTGGAGTTATGAACAGTTGTTAGTTGTCAGTTGGGTTCTGGGATACGAACCCGGGTCTTTCTGCAAGAACAGCCAGTGTTCTTAATTGCTGAGTCATCTCTCTAGCCCCCAAGAGGAAATGCCAAAATTTCTTAATCCTTTCATAAATATACATACCCTAAAACGTTCCTCAAAGTCCATAAATATTCCATTGCAAAAATCACATTCTTTTCAGCATTTTCTCTCTCTCATCCCATAACATACAAACCAATCATTTATTTCATCAATATGAAATAATTAGGTACACATGAATTCAGTATTGGGGCAGACTGTTAGAGGAAGTATAATGACCTATTCCTTCCTCTTTAACATACTTCAAATTACTGGAAAAAGCAGAAACCTAAAAAATATTAGAGCCACACGTGATTAAATAATATACATTTGGTAAGGTTTTTTTTTTTTTCTTTTCATGGTGCTGGGGATCAAACCTAGGACTTCAAGCATGCTAGGCAAGTACTCTACCATTGAGCTACAGTCCAACCTAGGTAAGGTTTGGAAAGAAAGAGTCAGGATGAGCTGGAATGATTAGGAAGGCCTAGTGAATGAATTTGAACTTGAACAGGATCCTGAAAAGTATACAGGCTGGTATTATTATTATTATTATTTTTTTTTTTTGGTCTTTTTGAGACAAGGTCTCCCCGTAGCCCCAGCTGTCCTGGAACTATGTAGACCAGGCTGGCCTTGAACTCACAGAGATCCGCCTGCCTCTGCCTCCCAAGTGCTGGCATTAAAGGCATGTACCACCACGCCCGGCAGTATTTTTTTTTTGGTCTTTTTTGAGACAGGGTCTCCCTGTAGCCCCACGGTCCAGGATTCACTATGAAGACCAGGCTGGCCTCGAACTCACAGAGATCCGCCTACCTCTGCCTCCAGAGGAGGATTAAAGGCATGCGCCACCATGCCCAGCAGTATTACTTTTTTTAAATTGTGCCTGTGGAAACTAAAGGCACCAGATCCCCCTGGAACTGGAGTTACAGATGGTTCTGAGTTGCCCAATATGGTTGCTAGGAACAGAACTCAGATCTTCTGCCAGAGCACTACATGCTCTTAACTACTGAGCCATCTCTCCAACCCCAAGGCTACACTATCTCTTATCTGAAAATACTCAGGACCAGAAATTCATTAATTTTTTTTTGAGATTCTAGAATATCTGCATGTACATTATGACATCTTGCAGATGGAACCCAATTCTAAACATGAAATTCACTTGTGTTTTGTATATACCTTATATGTACAGCATGGAAGTAATCTTATGCAATATTTTCAATGTGCCTGGGTTTTAATTTCAACCTATTAGTCAGGTGGGGACTTTTCCACTTATATGTCATGTCATTATTCAAAAAGTTTCAGATATCTGAGCATTTCAGATGATGCTCAATCTTGAACCTCAAGTTCAAAGAACCTGGCTGAGAAACAGAGTGAGTTCAAGGCCAGCCTGCACAACTTGGATTCAGTCTCAAAACAAAGTTTGTCTAAGAGTAAAGAGAACAATGGTTCCAGGAGGCAACAATACAAAAAAAAAATGCTCAGAATTCAGAATGAGCAAATTATGGGGAGGTGGGGTAGCACATACCTGTAACCCCAACACTCAGAAGATAGGCAGGAGGACTGTCAGTTCAAGGTCAGCCTTGATCATCCTACCTCCACCTCCCGAGTGCTGGGATTACAGATGTGTACCACCAACCTCAACAATCATGGATTAAGTGAGGAAACAAATAAGGGAATAGAGGTGCTTTCAATATCCAAAGCTCCTCCCTTTCACTGAACTCCAAACCTCTGGTATCTCATCCCCTTTTCTTTCCTTCAGATGGTTAGAATCTAAGTGGCCAGTCCCACATCCTGCCCTTTCTATCTTTTGCCCTTGAGTGTACCAATATCATATGTACCACTCTGTTTTCTCAAATCCTTTTTAAAAATTTTTTTATTTATTATTTTTATTTTATGTGCATGTGTGTATTGCCTGCAGATAGGTAAGTACACCCGTGTCGTGCAATGCCCACAATGGTCAGAAGGGGTTGTTGGAGCCCCTGGGACTGGAGTTAGGGGCAGTTGTTAGCTACCATGTGGGTAGCTGGGATTTGAACCCAGGTCTTCTGCAAGAACCACCAGTGTTCTTAATCGCTGAGCCATCTCTCCAGCTCCCTCAACTACTTTTCTAAGGCAGAAACCTTACTTGAAGAAAACAGATGTCACCCCACCCAGATGCCAAACTACTTCCACTGGGCCCTCTGAATGCGGAGGAATTTCCTATGCCTGATTAGCACAGCTGCTATCCTGTACCTTCACTCTCTTTTTGAAGAGTCCATCCCTTTATTTCCAAGTGATGACCTCACCTTCTATACTCCAGAAAAGATTACTGGGGACATCTGAAGCAGTAACAAATCTCTAGCACATACAGGAATACTAATGCCTTGCTGGAAGTGTAGCTCAGTGCTAGATTACACATGCTGGAGACCCTGGGTTCAATTCCCAATACTAAAACAAACACTCTAGTCCTGGCTTCCTGTTTATTCCAGGGCCCCGCCCCCCATAATGGTCCATGCATGTGTATGTATCTGGCACTGCACTTAAAAATCCTACAGTCACTGTCCATACCTGATTATGAATTTCTAGAAGACAAAAGCCATTTCCTCACTCAATTTGTTGCCTTTAATTGACCGAGGTATTTAGCACATAGCGCATGCTCAGTGAAGGTGAAATCTTGGAACAGGCAATTCTGCAGTGCAGAGTATCATTCTTTCTCTTCAAAAGATTCAAATCAACAGAGCCTGGTCAGGCAGGCACGAAAACCCAGAAATTCAGTAGGCAGATGTAGGAGGAATACAAATTCAAGGTCTGCCTGAGTCATAAAGTGAGATTAGGGCCAGTCTGTGCAACTTAGACTCAGTCTCAAAATTAAAAAAAAAAAAGATGTAAGCTTTATATAGTGGCTGTATCATTGACAATGAGGTTATGTGAAGCATGATTATTGCTACCTGGAAAAATAAAGAGGGCTAGAGATATAGCTCAGTGGTAGAGTAATTGTCACCTATATGCAAGGCTCTTGGTTCAATTCCTCCAGGAGAACAAATTAACTAATTAATATTCAAGGTTTATCTATATTTCAAGACCCAAATCAAATTTATACTACCTGATAGTGTCCCCCATATAATAAACTCTAGCTGACCTATCACAGACTATACCACTCATATGTAACTGTAGTATATCATTCTGATTGTAATACTGTATCGTATTATTGTGTTTGAGACACCAAACCACCTAGGATCGACAGTAAGATTAGATACTACCCGAAGAACTGATCCTATTTCAGTCAGTCTGAAGAAGTTTAAGTATAGGTCAAATAAGTCTCCTTGGAGACACAGTAATACATGAATGAGCCAACTCTCTGCCTGTTACAGAATTTTCTAATTCTCTCTAAAAGATGTACAACATTCTAATTTTAAGAAACTGCAAATTCCTCTTAAACCTAGGAGGAAAAGTCAAGATCTGAAATTTGGGCAGACTAAGCATTTTTTTGTAGGGTTTGTCTTGTCCTTGTTATTTTATTACATTTACTTATTTGTGTGGGGGAAGGGGTATGCACATGCCATAGTATGTGTGTGAAGGTCAGAAGGCAGGTTGCAGGAGTTGATTCTCTTCTTCTACCATGTAGAAGTACTAGGTAGAGTACTAGGAGTCAAACTCAAGGTTGTCAGGGTTGGTGGCACGCACCTTTACCCACTGAACCATATATTTGTTGCTTTTTTTTTTTTTTTTTTTTTTTGAGGCAGGGTCTTACTATGTACCCCTGGCTGGCTTGAAATTTGCTCTGTAGATCAGGCTGGCCTTGAACTTAAGAGATCTGGTGAATTTTTTTTTAGGGTTTTGTTATTGTTGCTGTTTGTTTGGGTTTTGAGACAGGTTCTCCTTACTTGGTATGCAGCCTAGGCTAGCTTCAAATTTGTGGCAATGTTCCTGCTTCAGTTTCCCAAGTGCCAGGATTACAGGTACGGGCAACCACACCTGGCGTCTAAGCATTACTTGTTAGTGATTTTTCAGTTTTGTTTTTTAGATAGGGTCTCGTATAGTCTAATCTGGTCTCAAACTGGCTATGTAGCTGAGGTCAGTCTTGAACTCCTAATCCTCCTACCTCCACTCCCTGAGTGTTGAGATTATAAACCTATGTGCTATGCCTGACTCTTAAGTTTATTGCTTTTAAAAATATATATTTACGTGTGTGCATATGTGTATACCATGGTGCATATGTAGATGTCAGAGAACAACTTTCAAGAATTGGTTCTCTCCTTTACCATGCAGGCTCTGGGGATGAAACTCAAGTCCTCAGGCTTGTAGGTAAGTGCCTTTTCTCATTGAACCATCTCACCCACCCCTCTAAGCATTTTTAAAAAGTGACTTTAGAATCTCCAGAACCCAATCCCCTTATTTTTTTTTTTTTGTCCTCTTTTTGAGACAGGGTCCCCCTTCAGCCCTAGCTGGCCTGGAACTCACTATGTAGGCCAGACTGACCTGCTTCTGCCTCCAGAGTACTGGGATTAAAGGCATGTGCCACCATGCCTGGCAGATACTTTTTAATTTTTGTTCTTATTCTTTTGGTTTTTTGAGACAGTCTCCCTGCATTCTCAGCTGGCCTTGATCTCACAGAGATCCATCTGTTTGTCTCTGCCTCCTGAATACTGGGAGGCATGTGCAACCATGCCCGGTCTGGCCTTTTTTTTTTTGAATTTTTGAAATTTTCATATAATATAGTTTGATGGTATTTTAAATCCTCTCTCTCCTTTCTCCACACCTCCACCCAAGGCATTTTTGTTTTTATTTAATATCTTTTATTTTTTATGTTTATTTATCTTTATTATTTTAATTTTATATGTATGAGTGTATTGCCTGCATGTGTTTAAGTACACCCATGTCATGCAATGCCCATGGAGGTCAAAAGATGCCAGATTCCCCTGAAACTGGTGTTATGGATGGTTGTTAGCTGCCATGTGGGTGCTGGGAAATTGAACCTGGGTCCTCTGCAAGAACAGTACTCTTAACTACTGAGCCATCTCTCCAGCCCCATTATTAAATATTTTATAGTAAGTGTACAAAATATTATGTTTATGACATTTCCACACATATATATTAGTATTGTTCATATTCCCCTCCTAATGAACCTCCCTTGTCCCTGTTTATCCTTCCACTGGTGCCCTCCTTCTCCCCAAAGAGTCTCCCCTTTACTTTCACGTCTATTACCTGGCATAGTGACTCAGGCCAGTGAGAATTCCAGCACTTGGGAGGTGGAATCAGGAAAGATCAGGAGTTCAAGGCCAGCCTGGGCTACATTAAACCCAGTCTCAACAAAGAAACAAATCTAGATTCTAAATGAGAGAAAATATGCAATATTTGTCTTGTGTGTATGTGTATGTGTGTGCACATGTATGTATGTGTATAGCTGTGTTCACCTGTGCAAATGCATGTAAAGGCCAGAGGTTGATACTGAGATGTCTTTTTCTATCTTACTTTTAGTGATGGGGTCTCTCACTGAACCTAGGGCTCAACGAATGGCTACACTGATAGTGAGCCTCTGGGATCCACCCGTTTCCACTCCATAGCACTAGGATTAAAGTAGCACACTGCCATGCCTAGCTTTTTACATGGGTGTTGGGATTTGAACTCAGATCCCCATGCTTGCACCGTAAGACAATGATGGACATGTGTATGCAGATGCATGTGTGTATCCATGCAAATAGAGGCTAACAATTGTCTAACTCCAGTTCCAGGAGATCCAATGCCCTCTTCTGGCCTTCACAGGAATTGTATTCATGTGGTACACTTAGATACATGCAGGTAAAAACAGTCATACACATAAAAAGAAAAAGAAATAAACAATACATGGGGAGGCACTTCACACAGCAAGCATGAGGCCTTAAGTTCAATACCCAGAACCTATGTTAAAAAAAAAACAAAACAAAAACGGGACTAGAAAGATGGCTCAGCAGTTAGGAACACTGACTGCTCTTGCAGAGGACCTGGGTTTGAGTCCCAGCACCCACATGGCAGCTGTGAACCATCCTTAACTCCAGTTCCAGGGGGAATCTGATACCCACTTCTGACCTCTGTAGCACTGCACGACATGAGTGCACATGCATGCAGGCATTACACTCATACACATAAAATAAAAATTTTTTTTTAAATTAAAATTAAAAAAACAGAAACAACCAGGCATGGTGGTGCACACCTTTAATTCCAGAACTCAGGAGGCAGAGGCAGGCGGATCTCTGTGAGTTCGAGGACAGCCTGGTCTACATAGTGAGTTCTAGGACAGCTGGGGCTACAGGGAGACCCTGTCTCAAAAAGACCAAAAAAAAAACAAAACCAGAAACAGAAACAAGACATGGCAACACATACTGTTTACAATCCCAGTGCTGGGGACTCTGGAGCTTGCTAGCCAGTGATTTTAGCTGAATTAGTGAACTCTAAGACAATGGGAGACTCTGTCTCAAAAAACAAGTTGAGGGGCTAGAGAGATGGCTCAGCACTTGCTGCTCTTGCACAGGACCCAGGTCCAGTTCCCAGCACCCTACATAACAGCTCATATCTAACTGCCTGTAATTCCAGTTCAGTGGATCCAACACCTTCTTCTGGCCTCTGAAAGATAGAAGCAAAAGGAGCTTAGGATCATCTTCAGCTATAAGTCAAGTATGAAGTCAACCTAGGTTACATGAAACCCTTTATTTTAAAAAACAAACAAGGTGGGGCTGGAGAGATAGCTCAGCAGTTAAGAACACTGGCTGGTCTTGCAAAAGACCCGGGTTCATATCCCAGCATCCATATGGCAGCTAATAACTGTCCGTAACTCCAGTTCCAGGGGATCCGACAGCCTCTTCTGTCCTCTGTTGGCATTGCATGACATGGGTGCACTTACTGACATTCAGGCAATACACGCAGATATACATAAAATAAAAATAATAAAATATTTAAAAAAACAAAACAAAAAACAAACAAGGAAAACTGGGTGTGATAGCACATGCTTCTAATCCTAGTACTTGGAAGGCCTCAGAAGCAGAAGGATCTCTGTGGGTTTCAAGCCAGCCTCGTCTACACCATGTGTTCTAGGTCAGTCAGGGTTACATAGTGAAGCCCTGTCTAAACAACAACAACAAAAAACAATAAACATACACACACACACACACCAACCAACCAAACAACAACAAAAACAAAAAACAAGGGAAAGCCAGCAAGATGACCCTGAGACCTACATGATGGAAGGAGAGAACCAACTTCCACAAGCTGCACATACATGCTTGTGGCACAAAGGCACCCTCCCCCACAGTCCACCACACATAGATACAAACTAAATATTAATGAAAATAAAAAATAATTTAAAAGCTAGGTATGGTGGGGTCTGCCTTTAATCCCAGCACTTGAAAGGCAGAGGCAGAGGCAGAGAGTTCTCTGTGAGTTTGAGGTCAGTATGGTCTACATAGTAAATTCCAAGCAAGCCAGGGCTATATAGTGAGACCCTTTCTCAAACAAACAGACAAAGGAGATAAATCAATGGGTAAGAGCCCTTGCAGCAGAAGTTTGAAGGCCAGGATTTGGACCCTCAGCACCCACATAAAAGTCAGGTGTAGTTGTGCATGTCTCTGACTCCAGAGCTGTGAGGGGTAGAGGATTGCTAGGGCCTGCTGGACAGCCAGCCTAGCTGAAAAATGGCAAACTCCAGGTTCAGTGAGAGAAACTATCAAGGGATTAAAGCAGAGCATAATAGAGCAAGACACTTGACATTCTCCTCTGGTCTCCATATGCACATAAAGAGTTGTACACTTGTGGACAAATACACTTACACCACAACAGACACAAAAACAACAAAAATGTAATAGTGAATTACAGGTCAGGAATTGTCTCTTCACAGCACTGTTTCAGAACACAACTCTCCCAGCTGTGGTTCTTCCTATGCTGTTCTCTTTAGGGAGTTCTAACACATCCCTTCTACTCTGCATGCCCCAACTTCATCCTAATTCTCACCTGCACAATGATGGACACCTGGCTGCCAACCTGGCTGTCTGCTGGGGATAATTCACCTAGAGTCAGAATGAAGTAGCCTTTGTTCTGACTTATCACCAAAGCACTCAGTCGAACAAGCTTCCCAGCCAGATTTGACTCTGAAACTTTGTGCTTCTTTCTAAAGAAGAAAAAAAAGAAGTAATTTTTATTCCTCTCCTTTTCCTCTAGACATGTCTTCCCTTCCACTGTAGAAAACAATCTGGTAGTAATGTAAAATGGCCATAACTCAAAGCTATTATCTAAAAATCTGTAACCACTTCTTGCCCTTACATAAAATATAGTTCCTTTTAGGAATTCTCTTGGGGCCAGGTATGGCAGTGCACATTTTTTAATCTCAGTACTCCAGAGGCAGAGGCAGACGGAGGCAGATCTCTGTGAGTTTGAGGCCAGTCTGATCTATATAATGAGTTGTAGGCCAGCCAGGGCTACATAATGAGTTCCTTTCTCAAAAAAAAAGCCAGGAGTGGTGGTGCACACCTTTAATCCCAGCACCCAGGAGGCAGAGGTAGGCAGATCTCTGTGAGTTCCAGGCTAGCCTGGTCTACCTAGTGAGTTCCAGAACAGCTGGGGTTATAGGGAGACCCTGTCTCAAAAAAAAACCAACCAAACAAAAAGCCAGTATAAGGGCTAGAGCAATGGCTCAGTAATTAAAAGCACTGGCTGCTATTGCAGGGGACCCAAGTTCAGTTCCCAGTACCCATCATGTTGACTAACAACTGTTTGTAACTCCAGTTCCAGGGGATCCAACACCTTCTTCTGGCCTTCATGTGTATTGCACAACATGGGTACAGGCAAAACACTCATACACATAAAACTAAAATTTTTTTTAAAAAGACAGTGTGGGGGCTGGAGAGATGACTCAGCGGTTAAGAGCACTGATTACTCTTGTAGAGGACCTGGGGTCAGTTCCCAGCACCCACATGGCAACTATTTAACTCCTGTTCCTGGGAACCTGATGCCCTCTTCTCGCCTCTGTAGGCACTGCATGCACAAGTGCACTTGCATGCAGGTAAAACATTATTTTGATATATCACAGTGAAAGATTTATCGTCCTCTTTTAAAAAACCCAAAAAAAAAAAAATTAAAAAAAAAAAAAAAAAAAAAAAAAAAAAAAAGCCAGTGTGGTTGCTGGGAAGATGGAGATAGGTAGATCCTGGGACTAACTGGCCAGCCAGTCTAGCCTATTTGGTGAGTTCTAGGCCAGTGAGAGAGCCTACTACCAAAAAAAGGTGCCTGAGGAATGACACCTGAGGTTGTCCTCTAACCACTACCACATGCATGTGTTCATACACAGAATCTTCTTCTTTTTATTGTTGTTATTCTTTTTTGGTCTTTTGAGACAGCATCTCACACTTAGCCCAGCCTGACCTGGAACTCACTATCTAAGTCATATTATCTCCCTGCCTCAGCCTCCTGAATGCTGGGATTATAGGTGTGAACCACAGCTGGCATAGCTTTCTTCATATTCAAAGCCCCATTATTCCCTTGATTTGGAACATTCCATCTATATTACTATCAAAACTTTTATCTCATTCCACTGAGGCACCATCATTCTCTAAATTTCACAATGTTCCTTTTTCCCCTAAGAGAGAAGTTACCTGAGTCTGAGCAGGAGGGATGCCTTTTCTGGGTAGAGAACAGAGATAGGTGTGAGAGGGCCAGGATTGATGGTCAAAGGAAACACTGGCACAGGGGCACCCCAGAGCTCCAAGTGCCCTTTCCCTGAGGAATTCCATTTGGCAGGAGGGAGGTAACTCCAACTGGGGAACAGGAAGAGATGACCCAACCAAGAAAGATCTAGATCTATAAGCTAGAAAAGACCAAAAGACATAGGTTAGTCAAGACCCTAGCACTTAATCTACCACTCCTGATAGTATCTGAGGCAGTTGATTACCCCATCTACTTACCTCACAGTCCAAGATTCCAGTGTTATCTTTCACATACAGGTTTCCACTCCTGTACTCTTGTTCCAAGTCCTCTGACAGATCTGTTAATGTCCCTAAAAGTAACAGCTCCTCCCGGGGAAGGGCATTTCCATTTGGCCCAGCTCTTTGGACCCAAGCCTGATACACATTACTACTCCAGGACAGGTGGCTGCAGCATGGGAGATGCTGGTGGGTCTTGAGAGTCTGTACTGAGACAAAACTGGAAAGTGAAGAGAACAGGGGTCCTGTAAAATCAGTGCAAGCCTAAGAGGATACCCTCAATCCTGACAGATTCCTAAGAGCCCAAAGAAGGGCTAAAGGAGAACTTGGACTAAGATTTGTTTGACAAAAGAGGAAAAAGATAGACATAAGAGCCTAAGAAAGTGAGAATGGGGTCTGGGTCTAAAGGCTGGGCAATGTCTCTAAGAGAAACAGAAAGAAAGTCTGTACTAAATAGTATCTAGAACAAGATGGTGCCAGGGACCCAGGACATGGTAAATGTAGCGGGCGCTTGAGGGACCCTTGGCTCCATAAAGAACTTCAAAGGCTCCAACCAGGTGTTCTTACATAGAATATCACAGTACTAAAGATTGGTTGGAAAGTTGAGGCAGTCAAAAAAAAGACACAAATATTTAAATTATTGGCTGTAGGTGTCATTCACAGAACACCTGATTAGTATGCATGAAGCCTTAGGTTCAATCCTGAGCACAGTGAAAACTATATGAGGCATGTTGGTATGTGTGTAAACTGGTACAACTCCACTGAGAACAATATGCAAATATTGAATTTGATGGAATACATACTCTATGGATCAGCATTTTCCTTCAGCATGGTGATTATTTTTTAAGACATAACGGAGAACCAGATCAGAATAGTTATTCTGTGACCTCACCTAACCTGTATCTTTTTTTGTGTGTCTCCCTGACAAGGCCTCCCTATAGCCCCAGCTGGCCTGGGACCTCACTATGTAAACCAGGCTGGCCTTGAACTCACAGAGATCTGCCTGCCTCTGCCTCCGGAGTGCTGGAATTAAAGGCATGCATCACCACACCCAGCTTTAAATCTGTCTTATATCTTATGAAAAAGAACTGAGTTCAGTTTCCAGCACCCGTATCAGGCAGGTAACTCCAGTTCCAGTGAATCCAATGCCTCTGGCCTCACTGGGCAACCGCACTCACATGCATTATACCCCCATACAGATACACAAACATACACATAATTTAAAAAATAAAAATAATAAATGGAGCTGGGCATGGTGGCACATGCCTTTAATCCCAGCACTTGGGAGGCAGAGGCAGGAGGATCTCTGTGAGTTCAAGGCCAGCCTGGTCTACACAGTGAGTTCCAGGACAGCTGGGGCTACAGGGAGACCCTGTCTCAAAAAACAAAACAAAAAATAAATAAATGGAAGCCAGGCGTGGTGGCGCATGCCTTTAATCCCAGCACTCGGGAGGCAGATGCAGGCGGATCTCTGAGTTCAAGGCCAGCCTGGTCTACATAGCGAGTTCCAGGCCAGTTGGGGCTATAGGAAGACCCTGTCTCAAAAAGAGAAAAGAAAAAGCAGTCAGATCAGGCCATGGCTCACTGTAGCTCATTCCTGGGACAGTTAAGAAGTTGTGCTATGGCCTGACAGCAGCCCATGGTTAAGACTTATGATCCTAACTAGTATATGTTCTTTGTCATATATGTTGTTTTATATCAGTCACATGATGTGAAATTTCCTACCAGCCCTCCAAAACTCATAAAAGTCTAATATGTTATTTGCTCTAGGGATTTTTCTCTGAACAGGCTTTTCTGTCTCCACCCACCTTTCATGGTTTCTTCTCTTTTATGGGGGTGGGGGTGGGGACAAGGTCTCACTATGTAGACCAGGCCAGCCTCTCAGAGATCCACCAGTCTCTGCTTCAGGAATGTTGAAATGAAAGGTACGTACCAACACACCCAGCCCTTATTATCACCTTTTTTTTTTTTTTTTTTGAGACAGGTCCTGCTATGTAAACCAGGTTGGTCTTGAATTCACAGAGATTCCGTTTCTGCCTGGGATTAAAGGTGTGCACCATCATGCCCAGATTTATTCTCACTTTTTTTTTTTTTTTTTTTTTTTGAGACAGGGTCTCCCTGTAGCCCCAGCTGGCCTGGAACTATACATAGACCAGGCTGGCCTTGAACTCACAGAGATCAGCCTCCTGCCAGTCTCCTAAGTGCTGGGATTAAAAGCATGTACCACCCAGCTTTATTCTCACTCTTAGGAAGTTTTTCTTTAGGTTTTAAAGGGAAGTCCTTTAAGACCCTGTTATGCGGTTTTTAATATATTGTACTATTTTCTGCCTAATGCTCTCTCCCTCCTACCTTGAAGCCCTTTTAATAAATCTCATTCCTGAAGGGAATTATGTATTAACTTCCTTTTCCAAGAATGCTCTGTTTTATTATCTTTGTTATTATATTTAACACTCCTCACTTTGAGAATTTTTTTTTTGGTCTTTTTGAAGCAGGTTCTCCCTGTAGTCCCAGCTGTCCTGGAACTCATGATGTAGACCAGGCTGGCCTTGAACTCACAGGGATCCACCTGCCTTTGCCTCCCAGTGCTGGGATTAAAGGCGTGCGCCACCACGCCCGGCCCGAGAACTCTTTTACAAAAAAATATTCCTTTTTCTTTTTTCAGTGCTGAGGCTGGAACCCAGGTCTTTCCACTTGCTAAGCAAGTGTTCTACCACTGAGCACATCCCTTTGTTTGCTTTTTTTTGGTCATTTTGAGACAGGGTCTCCCTGTAGCCCTAGCTGGCCTGGATTGGCTATGGAGACCAGGCTGGCCTTGAACTTACAGAGATCCACCTGCCTCTGCCTCCTGAATGCTGGGATTAAAGGTGTGCGCCACCACACCCGGCTTTGTTTACTTTTTTGAAAAAATATTTTTTTTATTATTTTTTATTTTTTTTAATGTGTATGAGTGTATTGCCTGCATGTATGTGAGTGCACCCATGTCGTGCAATGCCGCAGGGGTCAGAAGAGGGCTTCGGATTCCCCTGGAACTGGAGTTAAGGGCGGTTCATAGCCACCATGTGGGTGCTGGGAATCAAACCTGGGTCCTCTGCAAGAGCAGTCAGCACTCTTAGCCACTGAACCATGTCTCCAGCCCTTGTTTGCTTTTTTAAAGACAGTGTCTTGGCCTGTGAGATGGTTCAGCTTGTAAAAGGTGCTTGCTGTAAAGACTTGATGACCTGTGTTCTATCTCTGGATGCCAGTATGGCAAAAGGCAACCAAATTACAAAAGTTGTTCTCTGACTTTCACATGATCTCCTGTACTCCTAAAAATACACACACACACAATGATAAAAATAAAATAAATAAAAAGATGAAGTCTCACTCAGTAATCTCAACTATTACTACTGTAATCTAGGATTGCTAGGACTTTGAAGTTCTCCTAAGTCTCCAAGTGATAGATTACAGGCATTCCCTACCACACTCAGCTTGCCAAATTTTCTTTTTTCCCTACTTCCTCTCTCTTCCTCTCTTTTCTATAAAGCTGACATAAGCCACGTTAGGAGAATTTTAGGAAAAGGAAAGCTAGATGAAGAATAGGAAAGTTCTGCTGTAGAGGGTGTGCTCAAACCACCTTGTTCACCCATTCTTCTCACTCCCCCTTGTTCTAACAATCCTTCTCAATCCTAAATTAAACCACCCACCAAGCCCAACCTCTCCTTACCTGTAGCTGAGGGGCAGTATAAAACCCTGGTTCTCCCCCTTGGTCAACCATATCATCTTGACACAATCAATTACTGACTGAGTCAACTGGTTATTAGGCTCCTTGCCAGATGGACAGAGGGTCTGTTGAATAAACGTCTTCGCAGCCTCAAGCCAGGCTTGCTCCTAAGGAAAGTAAATCTAGTTAAAACATCTTCATGACTGTCCTGTCCACCAAAATATCTATGGAGAATAAAGAAATAGAATACAGGAAGGCATGGTGGCATGTGCCTTTAATCACAGCACTCAGGAGGCAGAGGCAGGCGGATCTCTGTGGGTTCCAGGCCAGTCTGGTCTACATATCAAGTTCTAGGCTATAGAGAGCCCCTGTCTGAAAGGAAAGAAGGAAGGAAAGGAGGGAGGGAGGGAAGGAGGGAGGGGGAAAAAAAGAAAAAAGACAATAAATTCAGACAACACAGAAAATAATGATCAAAGGTTAAGAGCTGGCTCATCTTGCAAAAGACCCGATTCAGTTCCCACTACCCACATGGTGGCTAACAACCATTCATTTATAACTCCAGTTCCAGGGGATATGAGAATGCCCTCTTCTAGCCTCCATGGCCATTGCATACATGGGTGTACTTACAAGGCAAAAACACTCATATACATTAAAAAATAAGTTAGCAAGTTGAAATGTTGTAAAAATGGGCAAAATCACTTTCAAGATTCTTTAAATAGTGTGTAAAGAATAGGACATAGTGTCTGATTTCAACACTGAGGAGGCTGAATCAGGAGATCTCCAGCTTGAGGCCAGCCTGAGATACACAGTAAGATTCTCTCAAAAACAAGGAAGCAAAGCTGGATGTGGTGGAGCAGGTATTGAATTCCAGCACTCCAAGGCAGAGGCAGGCAGATCTCTATGAGTTCAATGTCAGCCTGGCCTTCATAGTGAGTTCCAGGCCAGCTGTGGCTACAGGGAGACCCTGTCTCTAAAAAGACCCCCCCTCAAAAAAAAAAAAGAAAAAAAGGACATAGGCAAAGTATGTATATATATATATAAATACAAGGTCTTACTCTGCAGCTGTCTGACCTAAAACTGTGTAGTCCAGGCTAGTCTTAAACTTCGGACAACCCTCATCTCAGCCTCCCAAATCCTGAGATTATGACTCTTTTTTTATGTTTAAAAGGCTGTCATTCACTTACAAAATTATATGTAATTTCAGGGAAGGAGACCTGTTCCCAGTGTAGGTATCTTTATTTTAAAATTCCAAAAGTATTCAACAGTCATTTTTGGACAGTGTACCAATTTATTGTTTAGATATACCTTATCAATGCCAAAGCCTAGATGTGCATACCTTTTTAAGGTTTTTTAAAATTCTATTTATCTGATGCCCTGTCACTGCCTAACACACTAAATACCATTGTTTCTCAAAGTAGTACCACTGTCTCAAGGTGAAATCAAGTTTTCTTTATTGTTGTTATTTAAAGGCTGCTGGGGAATGTAGCTCAGTGGTAGAAGGGCTTGATCAATATGTATGAAAGTGAGTTTAATCTCCAGTAGTGGCAAAAAAAAAAAAAAATCAGCAAACCCCAAAACGCTGGGGCATGGGGAGGGTTGTCTATAATTCCTGCACTCAGGTGGCTGAGCAAGGATATCAAATTTAAGGCCACCCTGGGTTATACAGTGAGTTTGGAGGCCAGCCTCAGTGACACAGAAGTGGGGGGGGGGTGCTCCTTAGACTGATTTTGTACAGTCTAAGTTTAAGAATACTTACTATATACTTTACTCTCAATTACTTCATGATGTGCCTGACTTTAACACCCATTGACATGTTCCTAGATCGCTACTTTAGCTGAGTTACCTTTCCTGAGATTTGGTCCTACCAGTCTGCTCAGCATAGTCTATCTGGCCAATCTACAAGCAGCAGGCATACCCAACACTGCCTTCTTCACAAACCATCCCTTCTCTAGCACTAAAGCTATGTTCACTAACTTGGCAGATAGCACTCTCAACCAAATAGCTGTTCTACATGAAACCTTGCTGCACTCCCTAAAGCCTTCCTTTTCTTACACAAGATCTAGTCCAGTAGATTCTATTGCCTGTTTTTTGTTGGTTTTTTTTTTTTTTCCCCTCACCTCTGGTTCTCAACACTGCCTCCAAGGATCAGGGTTACCTTCTTCACTGCATTTCAAACATGGCCTTCCAATCCAGCCTCCTCACTACTACTTCCATAAACTGAAACCCAAATCATCCCATCATTACTCTCTTAAAAAAAGAAAAAAGGCAAGAGGAGCAAGGCATAATAAATAGGCAGAAAGACGGAGGCTGGTAGAAAAGCTAGCCTAGTGCTAATAACTAAGAAGTCGTCCTGTTCCAAGACAAGATGTTCACGGTTCACTCACACCCCTCCGCCTCCATCCAACTGAACTTTCCCAGGCACCTGCTCTAACTCATGTTTCAAAATATGGCCCTGCAACTGGCAGGTCCTCTTTCAGTGCTTTTGTTTGTTTTTTGAGACAGCGTCTCCCTGTATCACCAGTTGGCCTGGAACTCTCCATGTAGACCAGTCTGGCCTCCATCTCACCATGTGGACCTGGCTGGCCTCCATCTCACCGTGTGGACCAGGCTGGCCTCCATCTCACAGTGTGGAGCAGGCTAGCCTCCGCCTCACTGTGTAGACCAGGCTGGCCTCCATCTCATTGTGTGGAGCAAGGCTGGCCTTGATCTCAGAGATCCGCTGCCTCTGCCTCCCTAGTGCTGGGATTAAAGGCATGCGCCACCACGCCAGGCCTTTCAGTGCTTTTTTTGCCTCCCTAACTCATATTCGCACTTCCAGACTCAGAAGCTTTTCCTTTCCGCTCTGGCTGTGTCCTGGGGTTTCCTCTAAATCCCCACTTCCTAGCTCCCACTTTCCCAGAGTCGGGAAGCTTCGAGAATGGGCGGAGATGTGTTCCAGGAACAAACGGTCTCAAAACCCCGCTCACTCTCCCCGCGGCCACAAACAAAAGGTGTAAATTATACGAGAAGAAAGAAAATCCTGGTCAAGTAAAAAGACAAAAATAAAAACCACGAGAATCAGACAAACAGCACTCACGGAGGCAGAGGACTGCGGCCCGGAGGCCGCCATGATGCGCCAAACCCCTGCCCCTGAGGAACGCGGGAACGCTGCGCGCGAGGGCTCACGGGAGGGAGCTGTGACGGCAGGAGCAGGCGGGGCTCCTTCCCGGAGTACAAAGAGTACCGAAGCGCCCGCCACGCCCCGGCACGCCCCACACTTTGATGTTGATCTGGTGTAGCCTTTCGCTGACTTGAAATTCACCTTGAACCACATGCTGGCCTTGAGTTTGGGCCTCTGCCTCCCAACTGCTGGACTTACAGATGTAGGCCACCACGCCTGGCCTGCTGTTTTCCTTCTGTACTGCCATCTTTTCAGGCATCTCCTAGTTCTTCACTTGTGATTAGAATGCCTGGTTGCAGAAAGCCGGCATTATCAATCAGCCGCTTCCCTCCCTCCTGAGAGGGCTGTTGTTGAGACAGCCTGTTTCCTAAGACAGCCTGTCTCCTTCAGCAAATGGTCCCAAGAAGAGATCATAAGCCCTCTGTCTCAAGATAAACCAGAGCAAATGGTGCCAGGAAGAAGGGGGCTACAGGGGGACCATAAACTTCTCTAGAGCCCCTAATCACACAGTCAGCCAGCCACAGCTATAGCCTATAAAAGCCCCAATGGTTCCTCCCCCAGGGCAGCAGTAAATGCAGCCTTATCTAAGGTCAAGTATGGTCTCCTTTCTATTGTTCCTGCATTCTGCACCCCCAAAATCTAACAACTTGGGATAGGGCAGGCGAGCTCTGAAGCTCACACAGCAGACCACCTGGTTGATAACTCCTAAGAATCTTTCAGTCTCCCTGATCTTACTAAGCAGAGAAGTGCTTCTTCCTAAAACCATTCATAGGACACTATTCACACTTGTGGCCTTAACTCACTATTTAGCTTTCAACTGTCAGCTCCTGCAACTCAAGAGCTTCATTTTATTCATCTGTGCATTCTGATGCCTAGAACTGTGCATGTTGTAAAGAACTTGATGGAAAATATATGGATCAATTATTGAAACCTTTTACTCTTCTGAATTCAATCAGCCAGCCAATCCACAGTTCAGTACTAGTGGAGTAAACAGAATTGACCTATTTGCCAGACACTGTTTCAGGCTCTGGGATATATGGCAAGCAAAACATAAAAATTCTTGTGGTAGCGGCTCTGATCTCAGCAGATAGCCAGAGAGTGCAGAGTTCTGGCCTCCCTCTGGCAGAAGGCCTGAGAACCCAGGGGACTGCCTGAGAGCAGTCCTGCTTCCACGTGGTGAAGCCTTTGAGAGGGAACTGACACTGATTTCAACCACTCCAACAGCTATCAAAATACCTAAAAGCAAATCCTGAATCCATCACTCTAGAGTCCAGCCTTAGAAGACAAAAGAAAAATGAGGAGGAACCCGAAGACAAAAGAAAAATGAGGAAGAACCCAATAGAGGGATGCTTTTAGAAGCCCTTGTCAAGAAATTCCAATGAACTCTCATATGAACATTTGAAAATTGCCCTGTTCTGACTTTTTTCTAGTTCCCTGTCTAGAACTTGTAATGCTAATTACTCTTGCCTTTACTTCTCCTTCACATCTCCTATACACAATTCAAAGACTTTCTTTTCCTCCTAGTTTCACAATTTGGGAGTCTTTTTAGATAGACCCACTGAAGGGGTGGGTACTCCAGTTGCCTCACCCTGCATCCCTGTTCAGCATAGAAGAAGCCGGAGCAGCCTGCATCCTGATTCCCTATTGGCAATTTGGGTAACCTCTGCAGAGGATGATGTGATAAGAATAGGAGGAAGGAATTCCCTAGGCAGTTAGGGTAAAAAGACTCCAAAGAAAAGTTTCTTTGCTAAAACTCACAGTGTCCTTGAGCCTCTTAGCAACATACTCCATTTCAAAGGCCAAAAATGTCAAAAATATTTGGGAGCTTTTATCTAATCCTTAAAAGATTTTAGGGTTGCTGGGCATGGTGGCGCTCACCTTTAATCCCAGCACTCAGGAGGCAGAGGCAGGTGGATCTCTGTGAGTTCAAGGCCAGCCTGGTCTACATAGTGAGTTCCAGGCCAGCTGGGACTACTGGGAGACCCTGTCTAAAAAAAAACCAAAAAAAAAAAAAAAAAAGATTTTAGGGTTACCTCTTCAAATGTTAGGGTAGCCAAAAGCCCCATAAAGAAAAATAAATAAAGAAAAAAAAATTCTTGTTTTGGGGGGATTGGAGAGATGGCTCAGAGATTCAGAGCACTGGCTGCACTTGCAGAAGACCAGGGTTCCAATCACAGAACCCACATGACAACTCACAACCATCTGTAACTCTAGTCACAGGGGGATCCAACGCCCTCTTCTGACCTCGGCAGGCATTGCATAACACAGGTTCACTCAGGTACATACAGGCAATACATTCATGCACATAAAATTTTAAAAATATAAGTAATAAATTTTTTTAAAATTCCTATTCTCAGGGCTGGAGAGATGGCTCTGTGATTAAGAACACTGACTGTTCTTGCAGAGGACCTGGGTTTGAATCCCACATGGCAGCTAACAATTGTCTGTAACTCCAGTTTTAGGGGCTCTGACAGCCTCTTATGTCCTCCTCAGGCATTGCACAACACAGGTACACTTATCTACGTGCAGGCAATACACACATACACATAAAAATAATAAATAAAATATTTTTAAAAGTTGTTAAAATTCTTATGAATAGAGGCTAGAGAGGTGACTCAGTGTTGAAAGCACTTGCTGTACTTCCAGAGGATCACCTGTGTGGGGGTACATGCACATGAATGCAGTGCCCATGGCGGCCAGAAGAGAGTATTGGACCCCCTGGAGCTGGAGTTACAGGCAGTTATGAGCCTCTGAATGTGGGTGCTGGGAACTAAACTTCTGCAAGAGTAGTAGGTGCTCTTAGATAAGAACTAAAATAAAGTCTTTTAAAAACAAAATAAACAAGTATAGAAAAGAAAAGAAAAAAAAAGACAAACAATCCAACTCTACCTCATATTGACTCTCCCTCAAATTCTTTTCTGGGATGAAGCCAAGGACCCAGTCTTACTTGAGTGAAGGCACCCTAAAGGAGAGTTAGACTTTTAACAAACGTGCATGCACAATCATTTTGGAAAAAGCTAATCATTTCACCCAGGGACAAAATCTGTCCCACCCTCCCCCCTACTGTTTTGTTGTTGTTTTTAAGATAGGGTCTCCTGTAACCCAGGCTGTCCTCAAATTCTACATAGCCAAAGATGACCTTTGATCCTCCTGCCTCCGTTTCTCAAGTGCTAGAATTGCAGGTGCAAGCCACCCATGCCTAGCTAAAATTTTATCACACAAAAATCCTTCCTGCCGGGTGTGGTGGCCCACGCCTTTAGACCCAGCAGGCAGATCTCTGTGAGCTCAAGGCCAGCCTGGTCTACATACTGAGTTCTAGGCCAGCTGGGGCCATAGGGAGACCCTGTCTCAAAAAAAGGATAAAAAAAAAAAAATCCTTCCTTATTCAAAAAATATATTCTCTTATTATTTTTTATATTTTTATCTCCTACTTACTGGCTCTTTTTTTCCTTAATTTTTACTTTTTTAATATCATGAGGCAGAGCAGCATTTAAAAATTACCAGCTTACTAAGAGTTGACTATGAATTACATTTATAATTTATGTAACAAACTAAGATTATCTGTTTAAATACTGTAATTATAAAGATTTTGTCTGTTGCAGGTCTCAGGAAGGCTTTATTGCTACTTGGATT